ACTCTCGTAGTTGCCCAAAACAAATTAATAATAAAGATAAAGGCAAAACCTCACCTTAACACACAAAAAAAAAAAAAATATATTATATATTATATATAACAAAAAATAAAATACATATATAAATTATATATAACAATAAATTATACATAGCTAAATTTTTTATACAAATCTGTAATATGTGGCATTTATGTTTGTAGCTCATTTTATAAACAAATTATAAACAATAATAAAAGGTAAATATTTGGTACATAGGAGATTTTTTTAGTAAAGGCCATGTATCAAATTTTAATTTATTTTTAAAAATAAGTATTTCAATAATATCATATATAGACATATAGAATATGAACTGAGTTCACAATGTCATATGATACTAGTGCAGTAAATAATTATTTTGCAAATTTAATTAATATATGATTGATATTATCCTGACTAATTTTGATATTGATAATACAGCAAAAGATTTAACTTTTTTAATTATTTCAAAACCAATTTTACTAAAAAGACTATAAATTTTTAGAGCTTATTCTTTCTTTTTTTAAAGTAAATTATTGCTAACAAAGTTTGAAAGTTGTAATCTAACTTCTTTATTAACTAAGGCTTGGGTTGTATATTTCAGATTATTTTTTTTATAATAAACATATTTATTCTTAATTGCCTTATCAAAAAGATAATAGTAGATTATAACTTTCTGATTCATAATTTCATTTTGGTTTTCTGCATAAGTTATATTATTATACAAATCAAAAAAAATTTTTGCATTTTTATTTCTAGTTACAGAATCTTGTGAAGCTTCAGGTTCATAGATAATTTTTTTATAAGATCTTTTAATATATATAATTCTTTGTTAACTGATTTTTTTGCTTTTTTGTTAGATATTTTATTTGAAAATAATTTAGAATCATTAGTATGCTTTTTTGATATATTACTCTGAATAAACAGAATGCTTTTAAATATTATAAATAACATTTTCATTAAATCAATATTCTAACTTTTAGATGTTTTGATCACAGATTCTATCTCTATTATACAGCTAGGTTTTGGACATTTTGACTAATTTTAATAGAACTTTTGATACAATTATAATGATATAAGTGGGCACAGATAAGTAAAATAAATGGTTTTTTTATTTTATATAAAAAAATCTTGGTTGCATAATGAACATAAATCTAGTTTAGGTATATTAATATCATTTATAATTTTTTTTGAAGATGAATTTTTAAGAACATTTAATGCAAGTAGTTTAAGACATATGATATTTAGAAATATAAAGTTGATAACTATATTTAAAAGCAAACTTTTGCTTGAGAAGTTAGTTATTATAGATTGTAGCAGAATAAGTTTTTACAACAAAATTTTTTTATACTTTGCTTGTTTTATATTGTATTCTTTTATAACTAAAAAAATAAATTTTAATACTAATATCAGATTTGCTGATCATTTATTTACTAATTAATTAGTATAAATATAGATCACTTATCTAGTGGCAATGTTGATAATTTACCAATTGGCAATTTATTATAAAAATAGCAATAATTTGATTTGAATAGAAAAAATAGACTAGCAAAATTATCAGCATAAATAATTAGTGAAGAAAGGAATATACACTTTATAGATTTTTATTTTATATTGATATTGCCAATTCACTGCACTTTGTTTATTCTTTGTTGATAAAGACATAGGTATTTTTTTGTGTAATATTTTTCTGGCTTTTAACTGATTAAATTAAGAAAGATGGTATAGTAATCTCAAGAATAGTATTAGGAAACTTTAAAAAAATTTATTTTTGAAAAGGTGTGGCTGTCATACAAGAATATATGCATTGTAAATCAGCAAAAAATCTTCTGAGCTAATTATAATATTTCAAACTCAAAAATTTCTGTATTAAATATATTCTGATTTTATTAAGACATTATATCAAATAATACTAATAATAAAACTGATTGAAGTAAAAAATTTCTTTAATTATATAAAGTGCTTTATATAGGAAAAAAGATATAACAGTTATTTAAAAAAAACTTGGTATTAACAATAATATAAATTAAATGGTAGTGTTGAAAAGCAAGAAAACAAAAGAACTTGCCAATTCATATGAATTGCTATTAGAATTAGTGAGAGATTTAATACTTATACAGATAAAACTTGATATAGATATTGATCTTATTTTAGAAGCATAACTCAGAAGAATAAAACTTTTTTAAATAAACCAATTAGATTATTTAATTTGCTTTTATGCTTAGAAGATAATATAGCAATAATTCAAAAAAAACTTGGTATTGTTAGTTATACTAATCAAAAAATGGCAGAAGAAGCTAATAAAAATATAAAAGTGTATTTCTGAAAGTTTGAAGAATTTCATAGTTTCTTAAAAGATGTTTTAAGTGTATTAATACAAAAATTTATTAATAGTAGAATAAAGAAATTTTGGGTTACTGGTGAAAGACTACTATTATTTGAAATGTCTCTTTTTAACAATTGTATAAGATTTTTGTTAAAAAATTAGCTAGCAACAATTAGTGCCTATGTTTAAAATTAAAAGTAAAACAAGAAAAATTATCACAAATATATATACATCATAACAAATAAAAATTCTTTGTTTAAAATTAGCTAGAGGCTGTCAAATACTCAATTATCTGCTTTATTTTATAGCCAGAATAACATGCTTTTTGCAATATTATTTAATAATATATATTATAACTAAAAAAATAACTTGGTAAATAATTACCCATTCTTTACTATTAAATAAAATTATTTGTAATTCATAATATGCATTTTCAAATATTCTAGTATTAACAAGAATAAAATATATACACAAGTTTTTGAAGCAAAGAAGCATGATTAGTTAACATTATCATAGAGTTAAAATAGTCTTGCTTCTTTAGATAGTTAATTATTTCTCTGATAATTGACAATAACATAATTTTGTGCTAGTAAGGTATTATTGTAAGAATTGTAACATAAGGCTTCTTCAGTGATTGTTATAGCATGAGCTAAATTTTGTGCTCTATGTATTACTACAGCATAAACTAATCATATTTTTTATAAATATTTAGAAATTAAATTATAATCTTTTAAGAACCTATTGAACTATTTAACTTCTGGCTTATCTGAATTACCTATTTGACCAGAAGATATAGTATTCTGAATTTATATAAGCAATTTCTTAACTTATTTTTGATTCTTCTCTATAGATCTAAATTTTTTGGAAATATTTAATTGATCTCTGTTCTTTGTATAATCTGTTAATCCAAAGTTTATAATACATAAAGTTGTAAGTTTAGCAAGGCAAATACAAAGCATTACTATAACATCTGTGAAAGCTTGTAAGCTAGATAAAGTAGATACATCATAATTATCTAATCTCTCTCTGATTGATTTTAATATAAAATAATCTGAATAGTCAATATGATTAGCTTTAGTCTTTTTTTAATTGTTCTTTTGAATTTTGTTAGCATCTTCTGTAATATCTAAAAATTTAGTAACATTAATTATCTTAGGTGATGCATATCTTTAATGCTAAGTTTATTTTATAAAATCCATTATGCCATATCTTCAATAGTTTCTTTCACTATTCCTTTTAAAAATTTGTTAGAAATTGCAATAGTGGAGCTAGTACCAAGACACATATTTATATTTTTATCTGAGATAGTTACACTGTAGCTATTTCTGTTTTTTTAAATTAAAAATAAAGTATTTACTTGATTCTCACTAAACCTATATCTATTTTGCAAAATTTATTTTGCTATCTCTCTGATAATTTCTTCTTCTAGATTTTTTAGAGATGATGCTATAACTATTTTACAATTACCTTCAACCAAGTTTATAGTTTTATTATTTTAGCTTTTTTGATTAGATATTATTTATCTGCTTATTACTAAATTTAAAACCATTCCAAAGACATCATTAAATTTGATTTTATTTTCTATTATTATTAAGGTTTTCAAGAAATTTTAAGTTATATTTACTGAGATTAGACATACTCATATTGGAGCTAAGATTGTATTTTCCAATAATTTTAGTTATAATAGCTGACATGTTTGAATATTATAATAGGTCAAGTAGTTTATAAATGATTCTTTAGATTATATACATTGTATGAAATATTTTTTCAAACTAAAATTAATTATGCTTATTCTTCTATACTTAGAGGTATATAAGTGCTATTATTCTATAATAAAAAAGAGTATATGTTAATATACAGACCAAATCTGTCAATTGAAAATATATAATACAAGAATATAGCAAAAAAATGTTTTAGCTTCAAGTTGTAGTAATCCAGGCTATATTGACTTCTATGATTTATTTTTTTATTTCTAGTATATTTACCCAAATAAATTATAGCATAAATCAACAGTTACAAGATATTTGTAATATATGTCTAATCTGTTTTGTAATATTTCAGGTAGTGATATTATTGCTGGCTTTCATATATTAAATAAAAAGCTTGTATGTTTAGAATAATTATAATCAATATGTTCAGAAATTTCTAAGTAATTCAATAAATTATTAACATATGTATATTTATTGCAGAATAATTTATAGAATGTTGGTCTATTCGGATTTATCATCTGATTAGTTAATAGGTTAAGTGCTTTTTTTTAAGTTTCTAATTCTTGATCATTTATTTTGTTTATAATATATATAAAGCATAAAGAATATATTGTTTTTGTAATAGCAGAGCTAGTGTCTAAAGACATATATTTTTATAAAAATTTTTATATTGTCTAGTTTGTAAAAACAAAAAATCCCTCTATACTGAAGCTTCTACCTGAAAAATTTACCTATTTACATCTTATTTTATATATATATAACTTACTATAGCATACTATTATACTTACTGTATTTTTTATTTCTTATTAGTATCTAGCCATGATGAGATGATTCCATCTTCCTCAAGAGAATGGCAGATTATTTCTTCATTTATTAATCTTTCTCACACTGTCATATCTATATATTCACTAGGATCTTTTTTAGCCTCTTTTATATAAATACACATTCTCACATCAGTCTGCATTCTATCACAGAATGCTATAAAATCAAGCATATCTTTTTTAGTAATAGTAATAAACTTATCTGGTTCTTTACCAAACTCAACTGCTTTTTACCTTAATCATATTTCTCATTGTTCTCTGGTTTGATATCCAAATAGGTATGATATTTGCTAGGAAGATACTTTATTATTAGTCTTTAGTTTATTGTTTACAGATAAGTTGAAAAAGATTTTGAGTTTATATTTTACTAATTCAATAATCTTGGAAGAAGGTTCTGATTTATTATCTACAAGTTCTATATGTACAATTTCAGGGAGCAAAGATATATTAATAGATATTAATAACAAAGCAACTGAACTTTTATTTTTTATAGAATTAAAAAGGTTTTGGGTCATTTTAGTAATAGAAGAAGTGAATACTCTTTTTTTATCTTTTTTGATTTAATTGGTATTTAATGAGATAGGTTTTATTTTTTTTGATTCAAAAGTTATGATTTCTGAAACATTGAATATAGGAATATTTGTGAATGTATTGATGAATATTTTGATTTGAGATGAGTCTGAAAATTTTTTAATATTATCTACTAATTTATGTAACTTGGTCACAATTTTGAAATAATTAAAAATATACTGCTATTTTCTTTTTTTACTACTAATACATTTTTGTTTAATATTAACATGTAGGATTTTTTTTCCAAAATTATTATTACTGAATAGCTTTTCACCATTAGCTTCACACTATGTACAATACTTCTGATATAATATAGCACAACTTGGTTTTTCAATTTGATCTTCTGATCATATTAAAATATAATCAATTATAAATTAAATAGGATTTGGAAGATGCTTATATATTTTCTTTGTTTTCATTTTAGTATTAGAAATATTTTCTTGTAAATTTCAATTTAAAAGAATTTGATCAAATAAATAGCTTATAAAAGATCTAGATGTATCAGGATGGTTAAGAATTTTTTCCAACTAACTAAAATATTTAAAATTATTTTTACATCAAATAAAACATCTAAACATACAATACAACTATCTTTTTGCTTAATATAAATTAAAGCATTATGATTGCTTAATACTATAAAATTAGAAAAATAGCTACATTCTTGATTTTTAAGACCTTTATACCCAATTGAAATATAATCTTTTGTAATTAGAGATTTTAAGTGATTGTTTGATTTATGCTATTCTTTACTTAATATTTCTGCTTTATTCACAATTATAAGTTTACAATATTGAATACTACTGTTGAATTTTCCTAAAATTTTACCTAAATCTGATGTTAAATATACAAGCTCTGGACTGAATAAACTTTTTTGAATAAAATTAGTAATAATATTTTTTTTACATCATGGCAGTAAACATAAAACAAGAATTGTACCTAAAATTATTGCTAGATATTGAACTAAAAATACTAACTATTTGAGAATATATGTAGAAAGAACTTTATTTTCATCATACTAGATATTTTCTATATGCTATATAATTAGGTTCACAAAATTGTAATTAATTTAAGGTGCTAGTTTAGCCTTAAATTCTAAAAAAAGATTAAAGAATTCATTTTTTGATTATTCAATATTAGATGAATATGGTAAAAAATTGATATTATTATAATTGCCTTGCTGTCATATATACAATCTATCAAAGAGATCAATTTTATTAGTTTTTTTCCAAGTACTACTATATTAATAGTTATTTTACTAAAATCTAGAGTAGGTGCCATATCATAGTATAATCTATCATTCAGTTTTTTGTGTTTAAAAATTCATGTTTATTTATTTTTTATCACACAAGCAAGTGTAGCCTAGATTGTATTATATACTTTATTCTGAATAAAATTTTTCTTAGAAGTGCATATATAAATTAAATCATATTATACAAAATGGTTATTTGGATCTGAGATTTTGGGTTACTCTATTTTTTCTAAGAATAAAAAACTGTTTTTTTGTTCCAAGATTAATATTTTTAAAGTAAGTTTTAATGATGGTTTCCTTGTACCTATTGTCATATCTTGATCTGCTCAATAGCAGTAATAATAATAAGTTTTCTTATTTCAAATTATATATATATTATTACTAGTATGCTTTTAATTACAGAATAGACATTGAGATTCTACTATGTGATTTAAAAGAAATATATTCAGAAGTGTTAGTAAGAATATAAAACTTCAAAACCTTCAATTTTATACTTTTCAAGTAATTTTTCTATATATTCTACTTCAGATCTAATTGTCCTAGTATCGATTTTATTTTTTTTTAATACTTTTTTATGTTTAATTGATGTTTTTTCTTTTAGAATATCCAAGATAGGACTATCTATAACTGGCACCTCATCATTAAGTAAGCAAAGTATAAAATTAAGACAAAACTATCTTCTAGAAAAATTGCTTTCTTTACTCAAACATGTTTATTAGTATCTTTAATAAATTTTGAAGTTCTGAGTATTCACAAAAAGAATAAATATTTATTTGCAATATTATTGACAAAATCTTTTTCTTGTAAATCTATTAAAAGCTTTTTGTTAACAAGCTTAGTAAATACTGCAACTTTAGCAATATTTTTAAGTCAAAGATCAAAAGTTAGTATATGAAAAGACTTTTTTTTTTCTTTACTATTACTGACAATAATAATGTTTTGTAATTTAATCTAGATATATTTCTAGACATATTTCTTTAAAAACATGATAAAGTAAATTCTATATTTCTTTAGCTGTAAGCTTAAGCTTGGGTTTAATTTTATCAATTTTTTTTTAAATAAATCAAAATTTATAAAAGAGCAAAGTAGGTTATTACCATCAATAAATTTGTGAATGAATGTTCTTGCTATTCACTAAGTATAGCTTCTATTCTATCTTCAGTATTTGTACCAAGAAATTGTCTTGGCTTTATACTATTATTATAAATTTTATATATAGATTTAGTCACACACTTGACTTTGGCCCTTTAGTATTAAAAGGCTCTACTATTTTCTTTCTCAATCTCTAGGCTCTCTGGTCAAAAAGGTGGTGCTTCTGATTCTGCTGACATGTAATCAATGTTTTTTATTGTAGAACAGCTCTTAAGAGTACTTTTACAAGCATGAGTTATTTTGAAAATATTAGATATTCATAGTAAGTATATTTTTACTACTAGTATATTATTTCAAAATAAAAAGTTTAAAATGAAAATTAATTTTAAAGAATAGTTATCAGTAAATAATAATTATTATATTGTAAACCATATAAATATAGCATTTTATTATTGCTTCTATATTCTTAGAACTAGAAAAGTTTGCAATTAAGGTTGCTATAGACCTGAAGGATATAAAGTTTACTGGGATTCTTTACTACATGTATCTTGTAAAGAATATAGTAAGTTGACCTATTCTGATTATGACTATTGTGATACTTATGCAGATAAATATTAAAAATAAGACCAGTATTAGCAGAAAAGCTGAAGAAGATGACACAAGATGGAAAATCAAAGAGTTGATGTTTTGCATCATCTGGAGTAAAGAAAAATTAATATATATAATTTTTTTTGGTATTAAGGTGAGGTCATGCCCTTTAGTCTTTATTAGTATATTCATCATAGCTAGTACAAATCTATTTTATACATCATCTATCACTTATATATTTATTTAGATATAAGACTCAAACATATTTATCTATGACCTAAACTTACTAGAGTTCTGTATTGTGTTCCACTTACACCTAATCTGGGTTTTTGTTTTATTACTAATTATATTAGGTAATCTTCATATTTTCCTCATGTCTCACAACCTATTTTAACAACTTCCAAATTAGTTAACTGGGTTGTTCACTTCTTTTGAGCTACTATCTTTGGTTTGCCCAAAGGGTGCCTCTCTAGTATCTATTCCAAGTCAAGTTTCTGCTGCTGCTGCTAACTTCCTAATTCAGATACTAGTAGCACATATCTCAAGACAGGTTCCTACTGCTGCTGCTGGTTTGCAACCCTTTTTGGTCTTAGTATCATGTCCAATAGATTGTGCATCTAACCTGCCCCTTAAGTACTTTCTTTTATAGTATAGATAGAACTCTA